ATGTGGTGCTGAGGGTCGAACCCGAGCCGCACGCATGCCAGGTGAGCGCGCTACCGCTTGAGCCACATCCCCAGCCCCTGAACCCAGAGCCTTATAGCATGTGAGACAAGCACTCTACCAACTGAGCTATATCCCTGGCCCTAGCCTCTCTTTTTATAGATCAAGTGCTCACTTCTAAAGTCAATTGGCTCAGATCCTAGAGTTAATTATTTGAATATTTTACTTTTTGGAACCTATAAAAATTTGCCTTAAAATTGACAGTATCTTGGGACCAGGTTTGTGGCTCAGTGGTAGAGTGCTTGCCTAGCATGGTGTGAGACACTGGGTTCGATCCTGACACCACATAAAAATAAATAAAATAAAGGTATTGTGTCTATCTACAACTTGACACTATCTCTTGAGGTAGCTTTTGTCATATACTTGAATTATTTTTGTGGTAATCATTAATTCCATGAAGCTGGGGCCTGTAGTTTTAGTCTTCTTGGTATTTTTTGGAATGCATAGCAGTGTTGTGCTCATAAAAGGCACATAAATGTTTAGAATTAGAAAATAAGCTTATGAATTTTATAATATGTGATTTCTGTTGAATTTGAACTTGTGATGCATTCATTTGCTACAGTGGTAACTCTCCAATGTTTCTTGTATTGTAGGTGGAATTGAGCTATTTGCTGAAGTGTCTTTCTCTGATAACTTAGGGGGAAATTTACATTTTGATTTTTTCTTACCATGGCTTTGGTTCACAAATTCCTGAATGGCACATGTATTCTCAGAAACTACCTGAAGCCGAGTGCTGCCTTGCATTCATTTTGGGGTATTTACTTTGCAAACTATTGTTCCAATAGTCTTCAGAAACCAGTGGCTGCTTCTGGCAGAGCCTCCCAGGAGAGGACTGAAGAGGGTTTGCAAAGACATCACCAGAAAGAAGTTGCTTTGGATATAACTTCTCCTGAAGAGAAGCCTGAAATGAATTTTGATAAAGCAATTAAAGATGAATTAAAGGACCATTTTAGACGTTTGAAGGATGAAATCATGAATCACTGGGTGGGACCAGAAGGCCGCCCATTGCATGATGTCTTGCTAGAACAAGCCAAGGTTGTCTGGCAGTTCCGTGGAAAAGAAGATTTGGATAAGTGGATAGTCACTTCTGATAAGACGATTGGAGGCAGAAGTGAAGTGTTCTTGAAAATGGGCAAGAATAATCAAAGTGCACTGCTCTATGGAACTCTGAGCTCTGAGCCACCTCAGGATGGGGAGAGTAGCCAAAGTGGGTACTGTGCAATGATATCCAGGATTCCAAGGGTACGTGAGACTTGGGAGCCAAAGTTTTCTAGTGAGCTGGTGTGAACATTATTATAGCATGACCTATGACGACAGATTTATTTTTCTGTAAATGAACATACCTGGCATGTTATATGTGGGCATCTCATCTGTATATGGGGATAAATAAGTACTTGGCACAAGGGGGAAGTGATTTCTGAGGAGTCATTTCTGGGCATTGTTTTAAGCCAGGGAAGAATATTGCTGTTTGAGGAATACTGAGAGGTTAGACATTTGAAAGATATCTGAGGAGGTTTGTATCTCCTCTGACTTGGACCATAACTCCTTTAGTGGCCAGGGGGTCTCTTAGAATGGACATAAGGTCAGACTGTGGCTTTTTTTTTTTTTTTTTTTTTTGCAGCACTGGGGATTGAACTGAGGGGTACTCTACCACTGAGCTACACTCCCAGTCCTTTTTACTTTTTTAAATTTTGAGACAGGATCTTGCTAAGTTTGTTTTGTTTTGCTTTTTGGTACCAGGGATTGAACTTGGGAGCACTAAACCACTGAACCCCAACCCCATCCCTATTTTGTATTTTCTTTAGAGATAGGGTCTCACTGAGTATCTTAGTGACTCACTTTTGCTGAGACTGGCTTTGAACTCGTGATCCTCTTGCTTCAGCCTCCCAAACTGCTGGGATTACAGGAGTGTACCACTGCGCCTGGCTAGTTTGTTTGTTTTGTTTTTGTGTTGGAGATTGAACCCAGGGCCCCATGCATACGAGGTGAGTGATCTGCCACTGAGCTACATCTCCAGTCTAAGTCTTCTTGCTGAGGCAGATCTCAAACCTGGAATCCTCTTGTCTCAGCCCCCTGAGTTGCTGGGATTACACGTGTGGGCCATCACGCCTGCCTTTTTATTTTCCCCACCTTTTTTTTTTTTTTTTATTGGTGCATTATAGTTGTATATAATGATGACATTTGTTATTAAATATTCATACAAGGGCTGGGGATATAGCTCAGTTGGTAGAGTGCTTGCCTTGCATGTAGAAGGCCCTGGGTTTAATCCATAGCACCACTAAAAAAAAAAAAAAAAAAAAGTATTCATACATGCACACAATATAACAATATAATTTGGCCAATGTCACTCCCCAACTCTTTCCCCTTCCCTCTCCTCCTTCCACCCTAACTTTTTTATTAGTAGACTTTTTTTTTTTTTATATTGCGGATTGAACCCAGACGTACTTTACGACTGAACCACATCCATAGCCCTTTTTATTTTTTATTTTGAGATAGGGTCTCACTAAGATGCTTATGGTATCACTAAATTATTGAGGCCAGCCTCAAACTTTTGGTCCTCTTTGCGTCAGCCCCCCAAGTTGCTGGGATTACAGACGTGTGCCACTGTGCCCAGTTTTAGTAGACTTTTTATTTTAAAATAGTTTATTTTTAGGTTTATAGAAAAACTGTAATTGCAAATATAGTACACAGAGTTCCCATCCACTCCTTATCCACCTTCTCCTTTCGATGTCATTTACTGTTCAACATTTGTCATGAAAAAGAAACTAACATTAGTTTGTTACCAACTAAGTTTCAGACTTTATTTGGGTTTCACTACCTTTTCCAATAATATCCTTTATCTGTACCAGGATGGTACATTACATGAGTTGAGTTTTTATGTATATTCTCTTTTGTGTGGTCTGTGACAGTTTGTGTCTGTCTCTCTTTCTCTTTTTCTGGTGCTGGGGATTGAACCAGGGCTTTGTACATGATACTAGGCAAGTGCTCTACCACTGAGTTACATTTCCAGCCCTTTGGGATATTTTTTGAGATGAGGTTTTACTCTATTGCCCAGGGTGATCTTGAACTCCTAGGCTCAAGTGGTTCCTACTTCAGCCTCCCGAGTTGCTGAGATTGGGGGTGCTATTTTTCATGGGGAAAATAATACCTGTTCTGATCAGTTGTTTTTGTGGAATAGCCCTTTCTGATGATTTTCCTCCTGGTTAGACTGAGGTTCTGGGTTTTTAAGAAGACCATAGAATTAGCCAGATATGGTGGCACATGCCTGTAATCCCAGCAGTTCAGGAGGTTAAGACAGTAGGATCAAAAGTTCAAGGCCACGGCTGGGGTTGTTGCTCAGTGGTAGAGCGCCTGTCTGGCATGTGTGAGGCACTGGGATCAAGCCTCAGCACCGCATAAAAATAAATTAAAAAATAAATAAAATAAAGGTATTCTGTCCATCTTAAAAAAAAAAGTTCAAGGTCACCAGTGGTTCACACCTGTAACCCCAGTGATTTAGGAAGAAGGAGGATCAGGAGTTCAAAGCCAGCCTCTGCAACATAAGGTGCTAAGCAGCTCAGTGCAGCCTCTGCAACATAAGGTGCTAAGCAGTTCAGTGAGACCCTGTCTCTTAAAAAAATACAAAATAGGCAGTGGGGATGTGACTCAGTGGTTGAGTGCACCTAGGTTTAATCCCCAGTACCAAAAAAAAAAAAAAAAAAAGAAATGAAATTCAAGGCCAAGCCAGGCATGTTGGCACATGTCTGTAATACCAGTGGCTCAGGAGATTGAAGCAGGAGAATCATGAGTTCAAAGCCAACCTTAGTGACTTAGCAAGTCCCTAAGCAACTCAGCAAGACCCTGTCTCTAAATAAAATACAAAAAAGGGCTAGGGGTGTGGCTTAGTGGTTAAGCGGCCTTGGGTTCAACCTCTAGTACCCCCCCCCTAAAAAATGTTCAAGGCTAGTGTCAGCAATTTAGTAAGGCCCTAAGCAACTTTGAGACCCTGTCTCAAAAATATTAAAAAGGGCTGAGTTTGTAGCAGTGGTAAATTGCCCCAGGTTCCATCTTCAGTAACCGCCCTCCCCCCACCATTTCCCCTGTAATGTTTTTTTTTTTCCTAACTGCATTCCATATTCATGATGTGGGTAGTAGGAGGGATTAACCTTTTTTGGGGAGAGTAGTGTCTACAGAAATTATTTGGAATTCTTCAGTAAGGAAAATTTGATTCTTCTCCCCTTCTCACTTTATTCTTTCAGTCATTTAGCAGGGAACCACATTTGGGGTTGAAATCTAATGCTATGCTATTACTGTGTTGCTCAGATAGTCCCAGCTTTGGTATTGTTCTTTCAGGTTGACTCCTGTCCCTTTGACTTTTTTTTTTTTGGTAGAGTGCTTGCCTAGCATGTGTGAGGCACTGGGTTCTATTTGTTGTGGCTGAGCCACAACCCCAGCCCCAGTGATTGAACCCAGAGGAACTCAACCACTAAGCCACCTCCCCAGCCATATTTTGTATTTTTTTAAGAGACAGGGTCTCACTGAGTTGCTAAATGCTTCACCATTGCTGAGGCTGGCTTTGAATTCACGATCCTCCTGACTCAGCCTCCCACGCCACTGGGATTACAGACATGTGTGCCTGGCTCTGAATTCCATTTTTTTTTTTTTAAATTTTAGTTGGTCACAACATCTTTATTTATTTATTTTTATGTGGTGCTGAGGATCGAATCCAGGGCCTCACATGTCCTAGGTGAGCACTCTGCCGTTGAGCCACAACCCCAACCCATCTGAAATCCATTTTTGAAGAGAGTATAGATGGTTGTTAAGCATGCAGATTTGGAAGTGTGTGCTGGATATACTGCTTATTAGCTGAGTGCTCAATTTATATGTGAAATTGGTAAATTAGTAATTCCTATTTTAGGGCCCTTGTGAGGATTAAATGTGAGTATGCATGTAAGTACTTAATGTAAGTATTCAGTGGCTGATAGTTATTAGTATTTCTTTTTTTTTAAAAAATTTTTCTAATTGTCAATGGACCTTTAATTTATTTATTTATATGTGGTGATAAGAATAGAACCCAGTGCCTCACACATGCTAGGCAAGAACTCCACCACTGAGCCACAACCCCAGCCCCAGTTACTGGTATTTCTTGTTATTATCACCTTTAAAGCTTGAGCTCTATTTTCCCCAGTTTTCTGACATAGGGCAAAGCAGTTGTCATAAAATATGCCACTCAAGCCATTGCTCCAAGGAACTAAGGAAAAAACTTTCATTCCTTTCCATTCGCAAACACAAAGTGAATGCTTATCCCATGGAAACAATTACAAGCCAATCATGTCTTGAACATAATTACCTTAGAAACAACTATGTCAGTATTTTGAGCTAAAATAATAATTGTTAGATTTATCTTTTTGTGGTGCAAAGTGTAAAAAGATGAAAAATTGTTAGTGGATCCTTTTGGTGTTACTGACTTGGTGATGGCTCACATTTTGCTAATAGTGGAGAATGTGGTCAAGTTAACATGTCTTCCGTACTTTAGGGTGCTTTTGAGAAGAAGAAGTCTTATGATTGGTCCCAGTTCAACACTCTGTATCTCCGTATCCGTGGGGATGGCCGACCTTGGATGGTGAATATCAAAGAGGACACAGACTTTATCCAAAGGAAAAATCAGATGTACAGTTACTTCATGTTCACCCGTGGAGGGCCCTACTGGCAGGAAGTCAAGGTTAACAGCATAAGTCTTTACTGTTTATGAAAATTAGGTCTTTTGAGATTGTGGTTACATTGTAGCTAATCCTTCTTGGAAGGTTGGGATGAAGTGGGTAGAAGGAAGAGGAAAGAGACTTACATAAATCACTCTTTATTTCATTAATCATAAATGGTAGTTTACTAATTGGCAAATACTTTTTTTTTTTTTCTATCTGGGTAATGAACCCAGGATTGCTTTACCATAGAGCTAAATCCCTAACCCTTTTTATTTTTATTTTGACACAAGGTCTTGCTAAGTTGCTGAGGCTGGCCTCAAACTTGTGATCCTCCTGCCTCAGCCTCCCAAGTTGCTGTGAGTTATAGGCAAGTGTCACCTTCCCTGGCTTGATCATGTCTTTTTTGCTAGGTAGTTGGTTTTTATTTTCAATTACTAGGAATTCTTTAACTATTCAGATTGGCTTTTTGTCTGTGATATAAGCAACCTGTACAAATTAAAAGTCCCTCTGCCTCCACCTCCTCCCCAGAAAAGAACAGTTTCTGGCATATCGTTTAAGACATTTCTTTTAATATGTAAGAATAAGCTGCTGGGTGTGGTAGTAGCCTATAATGCTAGCAGCTCTGGAGGCTGAGGGTAGAAGGATCACAAGTTCAAAGCCAGACTTACCAATTTAGCAGGACCCTTAGTAACTTAGTGAGATCCTGTCTCAAAATAAAAAATAAAAAGGACTGAGGATGTAGCTCAGGGGTAAAGCATCCCTAGGTTCAATCTCCAGTACAAAAACAGACAGACAAACTAAACCCCCTAAAGAAAAACAAGCTGAGCATGGTAGCACATGCCTATAATCCCAGATACTCAGGAGGATGAAGTAGGAGGACTGCCAAGTTTGAGATTAGCCTGGGCAACTTAGTGAGACCCTATCTCAAAAATATTAAAAACAAATATAAAGGACTGGAGGTGTACCAACAACAAGAACAACAAGAAGTAAAACACATACACATATTTGTATATGAATAATTTTATTATTTTCCTTAACATTTTTAATGACAATATTCAAACATACATAAAAAATTGCAGTGAGTATCCAGATAGCTACCATGTACCACCTGGATTTTTCAAAAAATATTAGGCTGTGTTTGTTTCATCACTTTATTTTATTTTCCCATTCTTCCTACTACTCATTTCTCAATCCATCTTTTGTCAATATCAGTACATCTCATCCCTAAACTTTTTAGCATGCAAGTTTTTAGATCTCAATATTTACTTATAGTAATTTTTTTTTTTTTTTTGGTGGTGCTGGGGATTGAACTCACCAGAATTTCACATAATAGGCGTGCACATTACTACTGATCTATACCCCTACATCATAAGGCCTTTAAGAAAAAACCCAAAAAACCAAGCTTATATTATAGATTTTATCCCTTTCTTTTGTGTTGGAATTTGAACCCAGGCCCTCATGCTGCTAACTAAGCACATGTTGTGTCACTGAGCTATACCCCAGTCCAGATTTTGTCTGTATCTTGGTTTCTTACTCATAAGACATCACAGAGGTCTTCATATTGCAGTGAAACAATTGTATCCTATATAGATCTACTTCATTTTTTCAATAGCCCATATATTCAATTGTATGGTTATACCATAATTTAGCTTTGCTGTTGTTGTTACTATTAGGAAAAAACTATACCTTTATGTATTTCTTGGAGCTTATTTGTAATATAAATTCCTGAAAGTGAAGTTGATATGGCAAAGTTATGGCATTTCAAAATTTGCTAGATGTCATTGAATTAGTTTTCTGATACTACATAACAAATTATAAATGTAGAAGATTAAAACAACACATTCATTAATTTATAGTTCAGTAGGTCATAAATTGGAATATGTATGACTGTGTTGCATCCTTAGTTCTATTTTTTTTCAAATTGGGGATTGTATCCAAGGGCACTATATCACTGAACTATCCACAGCCCTTTGTTTTTTATTTTGTGATAGTTGCTCAGGCTGGCCTTGAACTTGCTATCCTTCAGCCTCAACTTCCTGAATGCTGAGATTACAGGCCACATTTGGCCCATGCTCAGTTCTTATAAGGCTGAAATGAAGGTGTCAGTCAGCAGGGCTGTGTCTTTCTGTAGCTTGTGGGCAGAATGCACTTTGTAGAGGTTATTCTGGTTCTTAGCCAAATTAAGTTCCTTATGATTGTAGACAGCAAGTTTTTTCTTGCTGTCAAGGGGGGGCTGCTCCCAGCTCTTAGATGCTGCTGGCGTTCCTTGCAGAAACATCTAAGTTCCTATCACTATCTTCAAAGCCAGCAATGGAGAATCTCCCTACTATTGTTTCTCATGCTGCTAATTTGTTTCACTGTTCCCTTTTGTGGGTTGGAATGATTGTCAAGTCTGCAAAGAATAATCTCCCTATATTAAGATGAACTGATTTGAAACTTCCTATCACAATTGCCAGCTGCCCTCTCAAATAGTAGTACTAAGTCGCCCTCCTACTAATTGTAAAAATGTGTGCTTATTTCTCCCCATCTGTGTTTTTCCACTTGTTTATGTAATCTTTTTTAAGATATTTGTTAAAAGCTGTGTTTAGGATATTACACTCTTGTTCTTAAATGTTACAGTATTATTTCCTAGTTTATCCTTTGTCTTTTGCTCTCCAAATTTTAATTTGTACTCTTTTGGACTTCTGGCTTAGAAAGTTTTCACTATTTTCTTCTAGTAGTTATTTTAAAAAAATTTCTGCCTTTGGACTGGGATTATAATTCAGAGGTGGAGTGCTTGCCTAATATTTGAGAGACCCTGCATTCAACACACCAGCACTGCAAATAAGTTTAAAAAAATGATCCAAGTGGCTGGCTACTCCTCATAACTGTATATAATAATTTAAAAATTAAATTTAAACTATTTTCTTACTGTTGCAACTCCATACAGATGCCACAATTACTTATGTTTCATTTATGAAATAAATGGTTTCTTCTTTCAGATTCCTTTTTCCAAATTTTTCTTCTCAAATCAAGGAAGAATCCGGGATGCCCAGTACCAGCTTTTGCTTGACAAGGTAACATTTTCCTATACTTCTCACTCAGAATGATATCTTTAATGAAACAGAACTCTTGTGATCATGAGTTCAGTCCAATTTGGACGGCTGACAGATGAAAGATATAAATTCCTACTCAGAGGCACCTGTTATGTCCAGATTGGTATTTAATTAAACCTATCTGTGAGCTGAGCCCCTATTTGGAAGAATGTTGGTATGATCTTCTTTCTTTCTATGTTTGTATTTTAACTTTTAAATACAAGTTTGGAAGAACTTCAAGGAATCTACATTGGGCATCCATGTTGCTCTAAGTCTTAAGTGGAACCATCTAACAGGAAGAGAAATGTGGAAAGAAAAGCAGTCTCTTGTACTTCCTCTTATAATTTTCCACAGTCTGTGAGAACTATTGTATACTTACTAAGGGCTGATGGTACAAAGACCCAGTTATAGTAATCAGCTCATGGGATTTAAAAACTTCAGGAATAACATCAGCATGTCAGCATATGAGATTTTAATCAATTTCTCTTATTTTAAATTTAGATCTCCACTATAGGATTCACGTTGGCTGATAAAGTGGATGGTCCATTCTTCCTGGAAATAGATTTTATTGGTGTGTTTGCTGATCCAGCCCACAGAGAAGAATTTGCTTATGAAAATTCTCCAGATCTTAACCCAAGACTTTTCAAATAGATAAGAACATGTGGCAGTTTTGTATGACTACATTATGGATAGTAGCAGTAACTGTGATGCTGGGGATCTGGGGGCTTCACACATGCCAGGCAAGGACTCTACCACACAGCTAAATCACCAGGACAAAATAAAGCATTTGTCAATATCCAATGAATGGTGGTATAATAATCCTTAAGAATAGCATTTGCCTCATCTTAAGAGGAACAAGGCATGAAACCAGGTTCTGAGCTCATGTAATACAAGTACTGATGTAGAGGCACTCAAATGTTTTTGTCAGAATGGTTCCTATTAGGAACATTTCCTACATGAGTAGGCAGGTTCCAAAGCGGAGAGTCTCTGAGATCAGTGTTGATAGCTTTCTACCATTCTCTCCTTGCAGGTTTCTTTTTATTTCCTAAATCATCTTTGAGAAAAGGAAACTGCTCAAGGATATTAAGATAAAGATGCCATAAAAGTCACTTGAGAAATGAGATACCTGGTTTAGAGAGCTTGTCCTCCAAAGATAAATAAACCTTACTAGTTCTTCCTTTATAGTGACTATTGATCAGTGGAGAAACTAGATACTAGACTTCTGTCTCTAAAGCTTCCAAAGTTATTTTAAGTATTAGAGATTGGACATGCTAAAAATAAGGCCCTGATTAACTCACTTTGATCAGTTTTTGTCATATTAGAAGGCAGGAAATGAATATATAGCCAGAGTACCATAAGAGAGCCAAAATTACAAATAAATGATATACAAAGTTAATAGCTTTTCTTCTTTTTGGTATCAGGGATTGAACCCAGTGGTGCTTAACCACTTAGCCACATCCCCAGCCCTTTTGACCACTGTAGTTTGCACTTCCTAAAGTTTTCTAGAAATGGGATCATTTAGTATATGCTTATTTTTTGGTCTGGTTTATTTTACTCGTCATATAGATTCATTCATTCGTTACACAAAGTAGTTTCCCATTGTGTAGATATAATCCATTTGTCCATTCCACCTGTGATGGAAATTAGAGTGGTTGCCAATTCTTGGTTATTACAAATAAAACTTCACATGAACATTCAGATACAAGTCTTTATAGGAACATATGATTTTAGTTTTCTTGAGTAACTAGAAGTCCCATGGCTGAATCACATAGTAGACAGACATAAAACTTTTTAAAGTGTTAGCAATTTTTTTCCAAAGGGGTTGTACCATTTTACATTCTCAGAAGTGTATATGATCCAGGGGTTTCTTGTTGGAAAATCTGATTTTTTTTAGGCATGTGCCATATTCTGAACATATATGCAAACTAATAATTATGATAAAAACCTGCAAGACAATATAAAGTCTAGAAAGATAGTATAAAAAGGAAGAATATAGTAATTTACTCTTGGGGTAGAAGTGGGTGGTCCAGGAAAGTGTATGAAGGATATACATAACCTCTTTTGATCTTAGCTGATCATCCAAATCATGGATGACTTGTCTAAAAAGAATCCACCACCACCACAACAAAAAATTTTATTTATAAAGTTCTTGAGCAGTATATAACACAGAAGCTCTATGCAGTTAGTGCAAGAAAGAAAAATGATGCCAAGCAATGCTGGGCTTTTCCATAAATTATTTTTTTGGGGGGTGGGGTACTGGGAATTGAACTCAGGGGCACTCAACCACTGAGCCATATCCTCAGCTCTACTTCGTATTTCATTTAGAGACAGGGTCTCACTGAGTTGCTTAACACCTAGCTTTTGCTAAGGCTGGCTTTGAACTTGAGATCCTCCTGTCTCAGCCTCCCAAGCCACTGGGATTACAGGCGTGTCCCACTGCACCGGGCTCCATAAAATTAAGATACAAATTTGACAGTGACAGCATTTTAATCCTTAAAGCAGTAATACACTTTTTTTTTAGTGTGTTGGGGCTCAAACCTAGGACCTGCCACATGCTAGGCAAGTGCTCTATCACTAAGCTATAGCCCCATCCATCTAAAATTGATAGATTTTATTTATAAATATGCTTATAGCTTTTACTTTTAAATATGCAAGGCTAGAATGAGATATAGAATTTTATTTTTAAGGATATGGTGAATGACAGGTAGCAATGACATGAAGTCTTTATTATAAACATTTTCATATGGGCAAAATATTGACACCATAACCAACCATTAGTCCAGTTTCAAGATTGCTAGATTTTGTAGGTTAGAAGATAAGAGTTGGCATTTTGGTCCCAGCTTTCTTATTGTTAACTTTTTATTGTTCAAATTTTACTGAAGCTTGTGGTATGACTAGATTCATCAGGTAAATGCTATTACATAAAGGACAGCAAGGCTGTTAATGTTAGAAATAGTAGAAGAAGCTTGACATTAAGATCTAGGTTAAGTTCTAAGATTTCTCATGAGAAAACTGGGCTGTACAGGGACTTAAGATAAACACTATTCCAAAGAATGCCAGAACATAAAAAACACATAGATGCTATATAAATTATGAATAAAAGTTAACAGAGAAAGATCTCTGAGGAAAGTGAGAAAGACAGTATAAAAATATTTACAAAATTTCAGAATAAAGGAATATTTATAGGACATAACAAATTATTCATCTTTAAGTATAATGAAGCCCCTTCGAGCTTCCAAAACCTTTGCTTTCTTCTCCTTTCGTTCTTGCTCTTGTTTCTTCCGCTGCTCTTCCCTATGGGGGAGGGACAGGTTACACAGTAGGTTCTAATTAAGCTCCAAAACAGGCACTTCAGAGCAACTGTTGTTGGACTAATATAAAATGTAAATGTCATCTAGCATATTTATGCAAAACAGATTCTTACAGGGCATTTCTCTACTTACCTGTTAATGTTAGAAATAGTTCTAACAAATGTTAGTCATTGTTCTAAAGGGCTAAAAATTGGCATTTCCCTTTTAATATTAACTCAGCATTTTAATATCATGCATGGAACTGGAATCAGAAGGTACATTAGTGACTGAATTCAACTCCTATACCTTAAAATTTGTATGTGTGTGTGTGTGTGTCTGTGTCTGTGTGTGTTTGGTATGGGGGATTGAACTCAGGGGCACTTGACCACTGAGCAATATCCCCAGCCCTATTTTGTATTTTTTTTTTTTTTTTTTTTGAGACAAGGTCTCACTGAGTTGCTTAGTGACTCCCTTTTGCTAAGGCTGGCTTTGAACTCGTGATCCTCCTGCTTCAGCCTCCAGAGCCACTGGGATTACAGGCTTGTGCCACCATGCCTGACTTAAATTATTATTTTTTTTTAATATTTATTTTTTAGTTGTAGATGGACAAAATACCTTTATTCTATTTATTTATTTTTTATGTGGTGCTGATGATTAAACTCAGAGTCCCACACATGCTAGTCGAATGTTCCATTGCTGAACCACAACCCCAGCCCTTAAAATTTGTAAATTTGTTTTAAATGAGAAATTTTGATTCCTAGATGTCAGAATCAAAGGTTAAGCTCACAAGTGTCCAGTGAAAGTGCTAGAACTAAAACCAGGGCCTACTGACTTAAGCTACTATGCTTTTTTTTTTGTTTTTTCTAAAGAGGACAAGGCAAAGAGAAATAAAAAGCCCAGGGACCATGTTAACTATCTTTTTTTTGGGGGGGGGGAGTACCAGGGATTGAACTTGGGGATACTTGGTGACTGAGCCACATCCCCAGCCATATTTTGTATTTTATTTAGAGACAGGGTCACACTGAGCTACATAGTTCCTCACTGTTGAGACTGGCTTTGAACTTGTGATCCTCCTGTCTCAGCCTCCCAAACTGCTGGGATTACACACATGCACCACCATGCTCTGCAATGTTAACTATCTTAACAACAAATACAGTTAGTAACAGCCTTCATGGAAGGTGGATATAAGCAAGAGTCACATTTATAGGAAAGTTCCAGACAGGGAATCTGGACTCATCCAGGAGCAGCTAAAGCCTAGCATGAGCCCCAGTTTTAACCTGGTTTTCAAACACAAGGAAGTCAGTAAGGACTATACTGGGTTTTTCTTGAGTAAGACCTTCATTCCTCATAAACCTGGGGTCTTGAGGAGTGAGGAATTTACATCTATCTATCTGCATATGCAGGTGCCCTGGGTGCTTGAGCATTGGTGTCTGGAGGGATATTCATAAGCATTGCTTGGGAAGATAGGTTATACAAGAGCAATCTTTGAATCTGCTTCTTCTGTAACACTTGTAGAGCCTTGAAAACAATGCAGATATTTGGGTCTCATCCCAACTCTTTTGATTTGAGATCTGCTATGCTAGACCTCAGCCCAGGTACTTCTAGAAAGTTTTATAGGTGATTCCATGCTATGGTTTGGATATTTGTCCTACATAAAGGATCACACATGGGCTGGGGATATAGCTCAGTTGGTAGAGTGCTTGCCTTGTGTGCACAAAGCCCTAGGTTTGATCCCCAGTACTACAGACACACACACACAACACAAAAAAGATCACATACATGCTAGAGTTTTTGTCCCCAGTACAATGGTATTGAGAGGTGGCACAAACTTTAAGAGGGGGTAATTGGGTCAAGGTGGTACACCCTTGGAAGGGATTAATGCACATCTCCTGGAAGTGAGTTGAGTTAGGGCTTGAGGGAGTAGACTGTTATATAAAGTATCTGGTCTCAGGTATTTTGTTACAGCAACACAAAATGGGTTAAGACATTCTACTTCTAACCTTAAACCTGCTATTACTGACAGTATCCCCCAGAGGAGCTTTTGTACACTGTTTTTATTTGTTCTTTTGCTTTTGCAGCACTGGGAATTGAATTCAGTGCCTTGCACATGCTAGGTAAGTGCTCCATCACTGGCTTACATCCCCAGTCCTATTTTAATGTTTTGAGACACCATCTGCTAATTTGTCCAGGCGGGGCTAAAACTTGGCCTGGACAAATTAGCCTCAGCCTCAGCCTTCTTGCTGGGATTACAAGCAGGCACTACCAAGTGCGGCTATATATATATATTGTCTTTTTGAAATTAGAAAAATTATAAAAGTGGATAATTATGTACTCACCTGGTCTGGAGATGAGGTTGTTTATAGGTTTTCTTATGGAACGTAACTCTGTCCACATGTTCATTCAGAGAATTATTTTCTTTAGATTTCCCCCATGGTTTCAGCTTTCCTAGTTAAGGACCAAGACACAGTTTTGAGATTCTTTTATTTGTATTCCTAACTTTATTGTCTTCATTTGTAGCTACGTGTTTCCTACCAGTGTTTATACTTTGCTTTATAGACATTTTCCAGTATGTTCCAGAAGTATATTCTGTCATTTATTTTCATTTCACACTCCACAAATACAAATCATATTTTTCCTCTAAAAATAAAAATATGTGCTGGGAGCAGTGTCACATATCTATAGTTTCCAGCTACTTTGGAATCTGAGGCAGGAGGATAGTTTTTAGCTCATAAACTCAAGAACAGCCCGAGTAACATAATAAGATCTGAGACTCAAACAACAGTAAAATACAAATATATGGGGCTAAGATTGTGGCTCAGTGGTAGAGCACTAGCTTATTAGTACATGTGAGACACTGAGTTCGATACTCAGCATCACATAAATAAATAAATAAATAAATACAGGTATTATATCCATCTACAACTAAAAAAAAAATTACAAATGTGTGATTTTTATAAACCTTAGAAAGTTATAGAATTTTTTTTTCATTTTTCTGTGCTGAGGATAAAGGCCAGTTTCATGCATGCTAGACAAGTACTCTACCATTGAGCTATATGCTCAGAGTGAAAAAAATCTTAGTACAAAAAAAATTCCCTTATGCTGAATC